TTTTTTCCTCAATATATGCAAACACATGTCTCTTATTTCTTCCAACAAATGAAGGTAATCCCAAATACCTCCCAAAATCAATGGCCTGGACCACCCCCAACAGTGCACTCACCTCTTCTCGTTCCTGGTCCCCAGTATTTTTGCTGAAACAAATACTGGATTTATGGAAGTTAACATACTGACCAGACAACAACTCATAGAGCTCCAGACAACGCCTCACTGCCTCTGCTTCCTGCAAATTTGCCTTAAAGAATAAAAGGCAATCATCTGCAAAAAACAATTGTGAAATGGGTGGGGCACCCCGTGCCACTCTACAACCATGAATGGCTCCCGAAGCCTGTGCCTGCTGCAACATCAATGATAAGCCCTCTGCACATATAATAAAAAGATAAGGAGACAGGGGGTCACCCTGCCTGAGGCCTCTCGTTGGCACTACTACACCACCAACCTTACCATTAATCTGAATATTATACGAAACAGTCGTAACACACATCATAATCAAATTGACCCACTGTTCCGCAAATCCTAGGGCTATCATCATTTGCCTCAAGAAGACCCATTCCATCTTATCATAGGCTTTTGCCATATCAAGCTTTAAAGCCCCCCACCCCATCTTACCACATTGCTTCCTTTTCAGAAAGTGGCCCACCTCCGCAGCAATCAGTATGTTGTCAGTTATCAATCTATCAGGGATGAACGCGCTCTGCGTGTCTGAGATAATAGAATTCATCAATGGTTTCATTCTATTTGCAATCATTTTGGCCATTATTTTGTAAACCACGTTACTTAACGCAATTGGTCTCAAATCCGTAGGATACTCAGGGACCTTTTTCTTCGGGATTAACACCACATTAGAATCATTCAACCCCTCTGGGAACACACCCCCATTCAGACAATTAAGCACAAAGCCAGTCACCTCAGTCCCCAACACCCCCCAAAAGTGTTGGTAAAATCCCGGATTCACTCCATCCGGGCCCGGCGCCTTATCCGGGAACATAGCGAATAGGGCTATCTTCACCTCCTCTGCCTCAAACGGTTTAATTAAGGCTTCATTTTGTACATCATTCACACGGGGTAAAATTGAACCAAAGAAATCACTATGAACCGGGGTAACAGATGATTTAAAAATTCCAGCAAAATAATCAATAATTACTGTATTCATTGCCCCTTTAGACACCCAAACACCATCAGACCTTTTAATCTTAGAAAGGGAATTTTTACGCTTACGAGAAGATGCATACCTATGATAAAATCTGGTGTTGGCATCCGCTCCTCGTAGCCAATGTTGTTTTGCCCTCTGCCGCCAGTACGTATCCTCCTGTGCCTCCAGCTGAGTCAGCTCAGCTCGGATCATATTATACTCTTCCAGCGCCACATGGCCCCTACTCCCTTTTAGTCTCATCAACTTGCCCTGTAACAATTTTATCTGTTTACCAAACATGTGGAAGCGGTCTCCTCCCCATGCCTGCAAACGATCTCTGCATAATTGTAAGGCACTCAACAATCCCTCCCCCTGGGCATCGAACCACGCCTGCTCCACCACCCCCCGGCAACCCGAATCCAGTAACCAAGCCATCTCAAAACGGAACGCTCGTCGACCACCCACCCCATAATCAGCCGGATTTGAGACACTAAGATAAATGGCCGAGTGATCAGACTTACGTGTTAGAATATTGACAACTTTGGCCTCCACCAACAACTCACGCCACTCCATTGTCACCACCACTCTATCAAGCCTTTCCTCTACCCAGTCTTCCGTCCCCTCACCCCTCTCCCATGTATACGGATACCCTTCCATGGGCAACTGCATCAGCCCACATGAGTCTAAAGTCTCGCCAAACCCTCGCAACAAGTTCTCCGGGTGTGGTACCCGACCCCGCTTTTCTGACTGGAAAAGAAGGTCATTGAAATCACCAATCACAACCCATGGTAATGAGGATTGTGTTGCTAATCTCTTCAACAATGCCCAAGATTCACGCCGTCTAGACCTCTGAGGATAACCATAAAAGCAAGTCATACGCCATGGTGGCCTATCATCCACTGTTACCTCCACATCCACATGGTTTTTAGAATAAGTAATTAGTCTGGCCGTATTATTCGATCTCCACAACAAAGCCAATCCACCACGTCTACGCTCCGGGTTCACAAAGAAAACCCCCTCGAACCCCAACTTAACTCGCAATCTCTCCACATGATCACCTTTCACCATCGTCTCAATCAGGAAAACAAAATTCGGCTTCTTACTGGACACCATGTCCACCACCTCACGAACTGTTCGTGGATTGCCCAAGCCACGACAGTTCCAGCATAACGTACTCATTGAGATGGGCGGGACTGCTCCGCAGCTCCCGCCATGTGCAAGTTTTTTGGCACATCTGCCATAGTGACATCCTTTCCCATTCCACTCCTATCCCCCTCATACCCCCCTTCCCTCCTCCTTTTCGAGACTGCCGTGACTGTCGTCTCGGCCCCCTCACCTCCAACTCCCTCAACCCGAGCCAACCCCTTTCCCCTCGAACCAACCATTCGGCCTCCCCCAACCCGTAACCCCTCGGCCACCCTTGGCTGTCCCCCCACCGGAACTAGCCAACTCTCCCCCACCTCCCTCGGTCCCCGAGCACCCCCAACCCTCATATCGGCTCCATACTGATAAAGATCAACCGGCACCGTAGAAACCCGGGCTTTAACACAAAACTTATATGTGTGTCCCATGAGTCCACAAAAAAAAGCAAAAGGAGTGGAGCCTTTCATACCTGAAGTTAATCCAGCACGTTGTTTTATCCCGCTTCATCAATTTCATCCTTCTACGTAACGGTTTATCTACCGGGATCGTTACACGGATCCGGTAGAAAGTTAGCCAATGTGCTCCCAAAAACCTTTCATCATGTTTAACAAAGGTTCCAATATAGTTTCCCATCTGCTCCAGAATCGATAACGATGTATATCCCATGGGAACATCATGAAGCTGTACCCACATATCAACAGAGTCTAACACAACATTCACCGTTAGCACCCCATCATCAACCAAACGGCACACCAGAGTATTATTCTCGAACGCCCATGGTCCGCCATCTAGGACGTAATCTACATCCGTCTTGTGGAAGAAAACGAACAAAAATAGGCCCTTATGTATCTCCGTTACCGTAACCCCCATCACCGGTTGCCAAACCGAAGCCAGAACCTGTCTCATATATTCTAGCTTTATCAGTCTTGCCGTCAAGAATCTGCCCACCACGCTCCACGTCTGCGCCACCGCACTAGCTTCATTCGACTCCCCTTCCACCACCGGCACAAAGCAGTCATCCTCCTCAACAATCGCAACCTCCGCCGTTCGTACTGCCAACTCGTCAACATGCGTCTCATACTCTCCTTCCGCCATGATCGATCTCCGATGAAGATTCAGCACTGCTCTACCCGTTCGTGCGTGAAACAGCGTCGAAATCCGGCGTGAGTAACCGGAGAAAAGAATCAAAGTAGCAAAAACCTAGCCAAACCCTAGGAGAGGAAGCAAAACCCTAGAGTTCTAGAGAGAGATTGCTAAAATTCCAATATAAATAACTATAATTTAAATAACTGCGAATTTCAATGTTTTATCCATGAAAATCTGTTAATAAAGTAAACATCTAGGAATTTAAGGATATTCGAAAGATTATGTAACATAATAACTGGAATTAATAATGATATAGAAAACCTCAACAGATTGATGTCAATCGCACGCAGAAGGAATCCTTATTACCAAACCACAACTGATTACTATTACATTTTAGCTAGCAAATGACATTATTAACTAGCTAGGAGTAATGGTAACCTTTGACTTTAAAAAAAAATCCGCAACTGTTATCTAAAAATGTTTATTTGGTGAATTCCGCATTGTGAAACTAAATGCATAGTAAATTGAAAAATCACAATAAAAAAGTAAAACAACTTAAATTATCTATAGTTGACTAACTTAAATCAAGAAGACCAATAGATAGCTACACAAAAAGTCGAGCTTAACACCTTGTAGTTATCAAGCAAACTCTCTAGACAAGAGTGGTGTTATTGGGCCCACACGGGCGTAACTCAATAGTTTAGTAGACCGTATTTGTGAGAAGAAGCGTTGCTATCGGTATTGATTATTAAAGGCAAATTAAGCTGTGGAACCGTGTCCACCTTGCAAGGTGGACACAGTTCCAAAATTGTTCATAATTATGAATATATAGTTCAAAAATTATGAACATATATTTCTATAATTATGAACATAGAGTTGTGAACATAATTATGAACATATAGTTCTGTAATTATGAATATAGAGATTCAATAATTGTGAATATGAAAGTTAAAAAATTATGAATATATAGTTTTATAATTATGAATATATAGTTCAGTAATTATATATGAACATAGAGTTCTGTAATTGTGAATATAAAATTCAATAATTATGAATATGAAGTTCAAAAATTATGAATATATAGCTTTATAATTATGAACATATAGTTCAGTAATTATGAACATAAAACTGCAAGGTGGACACGGTTCCACAACATAACGATTGATTATTAAAGGGCTGGGCAGACACTAATCCTGGTTTTAGTAAATAATAATCATCCTTATTAAGGTAACTTTTTAGTGATAATTAATTAATTCCCAACTGGTGACGCAACCAGATTAAGGATGCTATCCGCCGCGCCGCAGTTTCTGACGACGCTATCCAAGTATCCGGTGAAGCAATGGGCGCTGAGGTTTTCCGGTAGAATGAAGGTTGGAAACTCTGATAAAGGATCCATTTCCGGGCCAATTATGTCGTCGCCGGTGGTGTTAGGGTTTCCTAAGGTATTCATATTACAAGTACTGCCTTCCAAGTAACACAACAGCATATCATCGCCGAATCCAACAGCGGGGAACGCTGCTAGGTTTTGGTCGGAAAAGTTTAAGGTTGTCGGAGATTGGTCAAGAGCGGCGGCGGAGACAAACATGTCGTCATCGCCTACATTAATGGGTGAAAGTGAAACCCTAGGGTTTCATGCCGTCATCGGCGGCTCAGTCCACGCCGCTTGCCAAGCTTTTAGCACGTCGAGAGTCGGCGGAACTGTGGGCGGCGGCGGAGGCTTGCTCGGCGGCTTGTGGAGAGAGGAACCGAACATGGTGGAGTGGCGGCGAACGAGGCGAGCTTCGGCTTCGAGCCGAGCGGTCTCCCATTGAGCCATGTGGCGGAGGTTGGCGGCTTCCTTGAAGCCGAAGGGATTGCTCTTTGGCTTGTGCGTCGTTGGATCAATTCCCATCTTACTTAGTCTCTTCTTCAAATGTGAATTCCAATAATTCTTTATCCCATTATCTGTTCTCATTGGCAGGTGTGCTGCAATAGCCGACCATCTATACATATTCAAACAAAAATGAATTTCTCAAGTTAGTAAACGGACCCGAGAAGGGGAATATAATAATTACCAAAGAACATAATTGCAAGCAGAGTTTGAATATGGTTAATATAGGTTGGTTTATATCTTTATGATTCGTTACCAAGATCATAAGGCGGGAATTATCAAATGCATACTCTCAAATTGTGTTTGCAAGTTTTCCTAGTCACTATAACAAGAAGGATTTGAATATGATTAGTTACCTATTGCCAAGAAGAGCATGGAGCTGAATGATGGTTTGTTCTTCTTGCCGACTAAACTTCCCTCTTTTAATGTCAGGTCTCAAATAGTTAGTCCATCTCAGTCTGCAGCTCTTTCCACATCTTTTCAGCCCTAAACAAATGTTTCTAGAAAAAGTTAATCCAAACCCTAACTAAGCATACATTATCATATCTATGGATGACAAAGGGTCGGGTGGGGTTGATTCTCAATGCAGGAAAATTTTGTAGTATTTGGGAAAGATTTTGATGAATAGACAAAATAAATAAATAAATAAATAAAAAATAAAAAAAAAGAAGGGAAATGAAAATCTCCTTACTATTTTCAATAAAGAGTTAATTCAATTTTTAGTCCTAATATATATATATATATATATATATATATATATATATATATATATATATATATATATATTATACATGAGCTCAGGTCCCTTCCCCACATTGAGAACATGAAAATAGATCCAAGCTCTATAAATAGAGAGATTAATGCCTCAGATTAAACATATTATCTAGTAAAATCATACACCATGTAATAATAACCAACATAATTACATTAAAACATTCAACTAAAGGCAAATTAGCCCATTTTTGTGCACATTGCATCCGTAAAGATAACAAAGTCTGAATACAGTCCTCCATTCGTGTATATCATCTATTTTTACTTCGTTAATTTATTTGCAAGCACACAATTAAGCCATAATTTGCGACATCTACTGCCATAATTTGGTACTCATCACGTGGAAATGAGATCCCCATTCGTTGTTAAATAGTACAATAGTTATTCAAGGCTGAACCCCAACCCTAAGGGTCCCAGAGGCTAGACCGGTGCTCACTGCGCACAAGGAACCCCCCTCACTGCTGCTGGTGAGACTCGATCCCTGGTCATTCTTTCAAAATTTCACCTCTGTGACCAGTTGAGCTGCCCATGCGGGTAATAGTACAATACAAGCCCAGCCCTGGGCAAGTGCAGGCTGGGCCCTTGCCCAGGGCCCACCTCTAGAAAGGGCCCAGTATAATATAATACATTGTATATATATTAAAAATTAAAAACTGCATTTATCGATTTATGATTTTCTGAAGTTGAGGAGTGGAGGAGCGGAAGAGACAACCACAGTCTCGCACTCGCGCCGCCCAACGAGTGCCCAGGAGTCGCGTCTCAACCAGCAACCATCCAAAGCTTCTTAACATCTAAAACTAAAGTAATTTAGTAAACCTACATATTACAATCTTACATGGGAAATCGGCAATCTGCTAACCTGGATCAGATAATCGCTGGGCCAATGTCGAGGCTTCGGCCGCTTCTCATAATCGCTAGGCCACCGCAAATCTGCAATTTGCAATGGCCTAATTGCCGACCAACGGAGTGACCAACACCTTTAATTAATTGTTCAAGGGTATTCTTTTTGTATAACTGTATTCAAAATATATTATTCTATTATGTTTGACTCTCTGGACTCTTATTTTTCTCATTCTCTGCAAACTGCAATTGTTCAAAATACACTGAATAGCCTCTAATTAGTAATTATATATCTAAATTCTCTGGATATTATTTGTAAACTGCCGAATTGTATTTTAATTCCATCAATTAAACTAATAGGTATTCCAATTGTCTTTTAATTCTATTTAACCAGTTAACCTTCATAATTAGGAATTTTATCTGTCTTTTAATTCTATTTGAGATTTGGGATTCTTAACTAGTTAAACTTAAGAATTAGGAATTTTATTTGTCTTTTAATTCTATTTAGTATTCTGTGTAAAATGAAATTGTAAATTTAGTAATTTTATTATTTGAAGATTGATTTTATTTTGGTTTTAAATTTCTTTATTCATTTATTTATGAAGGAATTGAAGGTATATGTTGACTAGATCTATGAAGTATACGAACACGATTTATATACAGAATGTTCACAATTTACCTACGGAATATTCAAAATTTTATATTGACTATTCACAATTTACATACTAAATGTTTACAATTTTATATATTGAATATTTACAATTTTATATAATAAATATTCACAATTTACATACTGAATGTACACAATTTAAATTGTGAACATTCAGTATGTAAATTGTGAATATTCAGTATATAAATTGTGTATTTTGACCCGGATCTACCTTGCAAAGTGGAGCCGGGTGTGGCATAACTGTCTCCATAGGGCCCTTTTTCCTTATTTGCCCCGGGCCTATAAAATGATAGGACCGGCCCTGGTACAATAGTTATGCTGTGGAAATATGTTGATCATGCACATGGTAAACACAGAGGTAGATTTATAATTTTTTTTTTTTGAAAACGTAGATTCATAATTTTGTTTTTATTTTTTATTTTTTGTTAACGAGATAGATCCATAATTTCTAAGCTGTAGATTCATAATTTCTATACTGTAGATTCATAACATCTATACTATAGATTCATAATTTCTATACTGTAGATTCATAATTTCTGTACTGTAAATTCATAATTTCTATACTGTAAATTCATAATTTATATACTGTAGATTCATAATTTCTATACTGTAGATTTATAATTTCTGTACTGTAGATTTATAATATCTGTAATAACAAATGAAAAACAAAATTATGAATCTACGTTTTCAAAAAAAAAAAAAAATTATGAATCTACAGTATAGAAATTATGAATCTACCCCTGTGCTCACCATACGCATGGTGAACACGTTTTCACAGCATAATTTGCGTAAATAGTATAGTACGGCCTGAGTGAGGCAAAACTCTTGCTCGAAAGAGCCCACCCCATCCAGGCATCCATTATCCAATCATTATTACATGGACCATGGTCCGCACAATTATGTGCACCATAAATACAAATTACATTTTCAAAATATATTAAAGGTAATATTATTTGTCTATGTAAAGTATATTTTTTAAAAGTGCATTATTTTTGTACTGAAAGTACATTATTTTATATACTATCAAATAATGTACCTTCAGTATACAAATAATGTACTTATAGTATATTAAAAATGTACATGAAATTCATGATCCACACAGCTATATGGACCATGGTCCACACAATAATTTAATTTGCCTTGTCCAAGATTTTTTGAGGCGCAATACTTTAATTTCTACTTGTCTTCTCATTAATAACATTTGTTCTAGTTTTGTCGTTGTATTTGTATGAATTATTTTGGTCGATACTTGAAAATTACAACATAGGTGTCTTTATTATGTTATACGACAGTTTGGCTCCAACTTCCAAAAGATATATATAAATAATAATATATATCTGGTTTGAGAAATAATAAAATTGTATCTACGTAAATCACGTACTACATGTAAATTATTTTGGTCGATACTTGAATTACAACATAGGTGTCTTTATTATGTTATACGACAGTTTGGCTCCAACTTTCAAAAGATATATATAAATAATAATATATATCTGGCTTGAGAAATAATAAAATTGTATCTACGTAAATCATGTACTACATGTAAATAATATAATGCAGTAGTTTATGTAGAGTAACTTAAATTAAGACTTTTGAGAGATGTTTTCTCCTCTTCCGACGTTAGGTCTTTCCAATCGACGGGAAAACTTGCCTTCCCATATGATTGTCATGCCTATCTTGTCCTTCCGGTTATACTCAAATTGGTTCTTCCGAAATTTAAGTCATGTTGTACTCACACCCATATTTCTCAATTAACTTTCTACCAATCTTAAAATAATATATATAAATCCACAACACCTCAATTATTATTTAAGCTTTCATGGTAATACACAAATGCAGGCCTTTAAAACCATGCACAATATGTAAGTGCACTTACAATAGCATATGTGTGCACATATGAACCCGAAAACAATAACAACAGACACCACTTTGACATAAATGATTATATGCACACGATGCCGGATTCCGTGCATACTACTGTCAACATACTTGAATTAATTGTGCACACTGAAAAGAAGCATAAACACAATCCTGAAATGCACAAAACAGTGGTGGCTCTACAATGCAGTGTCCCACCCAGCTTATTGGCCTCTTTTATTCAATGAGTCGGTCTATTATAAACAACAAATGTTGATTTATTTCCTTGTGAGTTAGAATTGCAAGGTAAAGTTTATTCGTGTATGCTTTTGGACAGTGACTTCTAACTTTTCATTGATAGCCTAAAGAAAGAAAGAAAGAATGTATAGGATACCAGCTTTTGAAGGCAAAGCATGCCAGCTTCCATGGCCGTACTGCTGAACGTAAGCAACCAGCTTCTGGTCTTCATCAGGTGTCCACGGCCTTTTCTTCAACCCTACGTTTTCAAAGCATGGTGAGCTTCCCATTCTCAACCCTAGCTTGGCTTGCTCAGTCTGTCTATATAGAAAGAGAAAGAAAAGAAAGAGAGAGAGAGAGAGAGAGAGAGGGTGGGGAAGTGCTTAGGTCACAGGAAGCTAAGTGGACGTTATATAACAGAGAAGAGGTAGGAATATAATATGGTCTTTGTACAACCTATTTAATCATACTTCCATTCTATAGTCTCATTATTTTCTACTTTTTATGATGTGGCATGTGTTGATTGCTAAGATCATTATTTTTATTCATTCTTTTTTTTTTTCTCTAATAGAATTTGAATACTTAATGAGAGTATAAGTTGAGAATAGATTTTTGGTCTCCAAGTAGTATTTTTGTAAAAAAAATAAAAATAAAAATAAAAATAGAAATAGATAGAGAAATAATAAGGGTGTGTTTGGTTGACAAGTTTAGGTCTAAGTAATGAGTAACAAAGTGATTGTTATAGTTTGATTGATAGGTTTTAAAACACTACTATGGGTTTCAAATACTCCCTTAATTGAAAACCCCATACCCAAATAAAATAAGAGTATCATCCCATTTCATTCCCTTATTCCTTCTCATCCCCTTTGATTAGTGCTTTTAGATTTTTGTTTTTATTTTTTTTTGTTCATATTGGTATTTTGGATGTCTTTATATTAGAATCAATTGTGTTGATTTTGTGTTCTTTGTATTTTTAAAAATTTTATTCCCATTATATGATCATATATAACCAAACAACATTATTGATAATCATTCTCATTCCACTTTACTATCAAACATGCAAAATACTTTTCACTAAAACCCATTATTATTACAAAGTATTTAATACCCATTTTGATTCCAATTTTCATGTGCAAATCAAACATACCCTAAGATAATAACGAAATAAATTGCGACATCTACTGCCATAATTTGGTACTCATCACGTGGAAATGAGTATGAGATGCCCATTCGTTGTTAAATAGTATACTACGGCGGTACGGCCTAATAAATAAGGATGGAGTGAGGCAGAACTGTCATTTCATTTCCTCTACTTTGTGCCACACCAATAAAATGTCGACACCAGTGACAAGGGTAGGCGCAATATTTTAATTTCTAATTCTACAGGTACTTTGGCAGTTGCAATATTTTAATTTCTACTTGTCTTCTCATTCGTTTTATCGTTGTATTTGTTGATTATTCTGATCCATACTTGAATTATAACATAGGTGTCTTTATTACGTTATACGACAGTTTGGCTCCTACTTCCAAAAGATATATATAAATAACAATATATATCGAGCTTGAGAAATAATAAAATTGTATATACGTAAATCACGTAGTGCATGTTGATGGACAATTTAATTAAGTCCTCGCAAGTGCACGAGTCAGTGTAGTGATAGTGTGCAAAGGCAAGGGTCGATCCCACAGGGAATTGATATTATGCAATTTAATAACTAAAAAGAGTGGAAAGAAAAGACTTTAACATAAAGTTTTAATTGCAGTTAATAAAAATTGGATAATTTAAGGTACTAGGATTAAATGCCAAAGATAACGATCAATTAAATTCAGGAAATTAAACAATGAATAATTGAATCAAAATTTAAAGGTGAACAAATAAATTATCGAGAAGCAAAAAAAATCAAAGAACAATTAAACCTGAAAAGCATAAGAACATGAATTTAAAAGGTATGGTGTTTACTCAATACTTCTCTCAAACAGACTAATAAATACTAAATTGGTCGAATTGAACTTAAATATACGAATCATGGGGAAAAACTTAATCAATTGTATTGGCAACATAAAAACCTAAGTTAATGCAAAACTTTCTTGGCGATTTCTATCACATTCCCAGAAGACAAATGCTTAGCAATGCATAGTGACTCAGTAGCAACAAGTTCAGGCAACATCAACTTTCAAAAGACTAATCACAATCTAATTTGCAATTAAACACTAAATAAGATGGCAATTAACAATCTAATTTGCAATTAATAAGCACTAAATAATATGACAATTAACAATAATGGGTGAAGAGAAGGAAAACAATTACCAGTATAACTTTACTGCTAACCAAAAAGATTGCTTAGATAACCAAGAAACTGAACCAACACAACTCACAAAACATAATATTTCAATCACTAATTAAGTAAACTAATGATAATAAGAGTAAGGAGAATGGAAATTGCCGTATAACTATCGTTGCTGCACAGACCACCAATTTGTTGCCGCCAGGAGAACTTGCCGTCACGACCGGAAGAGAAGTTGCCGATCAGAATTCGCCGACCACCAAACCAGAATTACTGTCCGCCAAAGATTCGTACGGCCAAACACTGGAAATCACCTCCGACCGGAACTGGTCCGGAGTGAACTTGATGATCCCCTTCCTCGAACGCGCATGTATTTATATTGTTTGAACCCAACAATTTTCTCAAGTTCTACGCTATAGTCGGTCAAAGCTCCGAGCAGTCACCATGCCCGAAGGAGATGCTCTTCTTCCGTTCGTTGTTTTGACTGGTCGTTGTTGAAAGAGTCTCAACCAAGAAATAATTATTACTAATTAAATAAAATACATCTTATTAAAAGCTTAAATATGTTAGAGTCCATATATAACTAATCTACAATTACTACTAAAACCAATTATTAATATATTATTATTAAATTAGAATCAAAGAATTATTGAACTGACAATTCTTATAACAAAACTAAATTAATAACAAAAACAACCCAAAAATTAAACAATATTAATAAAAACTACTTATAACAATAATAAGTAAAATAACTAAAATAAGATAAAAAATAATCAATTATTTGCAACTTAACTATAAAAAATTATTTAAAGTAACAACAAAAATAATGTTTATCACATGTAAATAATATAATGTAGTAGTTTACGGAGAGTGACTTAAATCAAGACTTTTGAGAGATGTTTTCTCTTCTTCAGACGTTACGTCTTGCCTTCCGATATGCTTGCCATGCCTATCTTGTCCCTCCGGTTACACTCAAATCGGTTCTTCCGAAATTTAAGCCATGTTTCACTTACACCCATATTTCCCAATTCCAATTAACTTTCTACCAATCTTAAAATAATATATATAACTCCACAACACCTCAATTATTATTTAAGCTTTCATGGTAATACAGATGAAACATTAATCTCCATTACTAATTTACTATATAACTCCCCAACACTCATTTACCATTTTAGTTTAACTTTTATTTCGTATATGCGTGAATTGTTTTCGCTTCGTACTTTTTTTTTTCTAGCTTCCTTCTAATGTTGTTTCCTTCTAGTCTTGCTTTCTTGCGATCTTTGAACAAATACCTTCACTACTGAAAATTATGGAATTTCCGACCACCTGAAAGTGATCATAAATCAAGTCAAAAGTCTTGTTCCGACCACTTTTGATATCCGAAAAAACCTTTGTTGATATTTCCGACCACTTTTTACTTTCAATTTGATTTAAGATTACTTTTAGGTGGTCGGAAATTCTATAATTTCCAATAGTGTTTTTTGATTCATTTCCTTCCGAAATTTAGAAAAGAAATAATCATTGAGTTTGATTTACAAGAGATAATTCCAATCATTTAGAAAATAAATTTCAGTCAGTCTGTAATCCTTGTACGATTGGTTTTGTATCATCAAAATGCTAACAACGTAATTCCTATCAATTTCTCCTTTTATTTTTTATTATTTTTTATAGCGAAGCGCTAACACCGCTAAGTACAAAATATTGGAATGGTCTAGTGAACCATACTCACTCACACAATCAATGATTCAATGTCTTATGCCAGTTAAGACTTTTGAGAGATGTTTTCTTTTCTTCCGATGACTTCTTCCGGCGTCAGGTCTTTCCTACTTACAAGAAAATTTGCCTTTCGATACGATAGTCACACTGATCTGATCTTGTCCTTCCGGTTACACTCAAACCGCTTCTTCCGAAATTTAAGTCATGAAAATTCAATCTTTCAATTCAGTTGCAACAGAGAGAGATTACACGAGTGTATATCTCAGTACACCTCTAATCTCTCCTATCTATTAGGATACAAACTAAAGACTACTTCTAAAGCCACAAAATATAAACTATATATTATAAAACAAATAACAATAATAATAACACTGCTCAAACACCCCCTCAAGCACAAGGCTGGTGAGAAACCACATTGAGCTTGTCTCGTAGAGCCACGAACCGTGCCCCTGGTAGTGGTTTGGTGAGGATGTCAGCTAGCTGGTCTTTAGTCGAAACAAAATTAACCACAAACTCCCCTGATGCTACTTTATCGCGAACGAAGTGGTAATCAATCTCAACATGCTTCGTTCTGGCGTGAAAAACTGGATTAGCGCACAGGTATGTGGCCCCTAAATTATCACACCACAGACTGGACGGCTGACCCGTATGCAGGCCTAGCTCACGGAGAAGGGATACAACCCACGTACCTCAGCTGCCACATCTGCTAAGGCCTTGTACTCTGCTTCTGTGGACGACCGGGCCACAGTCCGTTGTTTCCGGGAAAGCCAGGAAATGAGATTGGTCCCGAGAAAGACTGCATACCCACTGGTGCTCTTCCTATCTACCGGACAACCAGCCCAATCGGAGTCGGAATATGCCTGTACTGACGTGGAAGTGGAAGCCGATAGCCGGAGCCCGTAATCCATAGTGCCCTTGACATACCGTAACACACGCTTGACCATGGCCCAGTGATCAACGGTCGGTGAGTGCATGAATTGACATAAGCGGTTGACAGCATAAGATAAGTCAGGACGAGTGATGGTCAGATACTGCAGTGCGCCAACTATACGACGATACTGAGTAGGATTATCGAACAGCTCGTCAGACGGGGTTACTGCTTGCGTCGTGGAAGCTGGAGTTGCTAGAGGCTTGCAATCTGTCATCCCTGCCCGATTCAATAAATCATTCATATAACGCCTTTGCGATAAGATCATTCCTGCACTCGTGTGTATTGTTTCAATGCCTAAGAAGAAGCCCGGTTTGCCAAGGTCCCTGACTTTAAAAGTTGTAGCCAAACGGTTTAGTAAGGTGTTGACCAAAGTAGGATTACTGCCCATCATGATGATGTCGTCTACGTAGACCAGGAGGTAGACACGAGACCCATCCGAGACGTAGTAGAATAGAGAAACATCCGTCTTCGATGCACAGAACCCTGTAGTGAGTAAGAAATCATGCAAGCGTTTGAACCAGGCCCGAGGTGCCTGCTTCAGACCATAGAGAGACCGCTGGAGCAAACAAACGTGATCTGGGTGTGCTGGATCTTCATACCCAGGTGGTTGGTTCATGTAGACTGTCTCGGCTAAGTGCCCATTTAGGAAGGCATTGTGGACATCTAGCTGCCGTAGAGTCCAGCTGTGGGTGATGGCCAGCGACAGTAGCATGCGCACCGTGGTTGGTTTAACCACCGGGCTGAAAGTGTCGAAGAAGTCTTCGCCCGCTACCTGATTGAAACCCTTGGCAACAAGGCGTGCCTTGTGCCGCTCAACCGTGCCATCAGCCGTACGCTTCGTACGGAACACCCACTTGCATCCGATTATATTCATATCCAGTGCAGGTGCAACAAGCTGCCAGGTGTTGTTATGGAGAAGAGCGTTGAACTCTTGGTCCATAGCATCCCGCCAGTGTGGGTGGCCCACAGCTTGTGAGTAACACGTTGGGTCCGTTGTTACAGTTACCAAGGCTTGAAATTCCTCATTAGTGCCCTGAGTCATGTGACGCAGCCGCATGCTGTGGTCCCTTTCCTGAGGTTGAGTCCTACCTCGGCCTCGATCCCGACCCCGACCCCGACCTCATCCCCGAGTCGCTAGGGTAGCAGGCTCAATGGCTAGAAGCGGGATCTCCTGGGCTAGCGGAATAGGGCTAGAGTCATGTGGCTCCACTGTAGGAACATGCGCAGACGTGATAGCGGGCACTGGAACTATCGGTCCAGAAGCCCATGGCGCGGGTTGTGGCTCATTAACCCGCGTTGTTGTACCTGCGGCAAAAGAGAAAATTGTCTCGTCAAAGCGCACATGGCGACAGATGTAAGTTTTCCCACTCGATAGGTCCATGCATCTATACCCTCGAAAAGACGGAGGGTAGCCAAGGAAAACACAGGGAGTGGAACGAAACTCTATCTTGTGCCGATTGTACGGCCTTAGATAGGGGTAGCATAAGCACCCAAAGACTCGTAAGAATTGATAAGGTGGTAACTTTTTGTGGACACGGAAGTATGGGCTTTCAAATTGTAAAGCCGAGGACGGGAGATAATTAATTAGACACGTGGCTGTTTCGAATGCGTGGTCCCAATATTGTTGCGGGACCGACCCTTGGGCCATTAGAGCCAGACCTGTTTCAACGACATGCCTGTTACGGCGCTCAACTCGTCCATTTTGTTCGTGCGTGTATGCACAGGATTGGCGATGATTAATGCCAAGGGACTGGAGGGTAGTATGCAATTTTCGGTACTCACCCCCTAAGTCCGACTGAATCGATTTGATAGAGCGCGAGAACTGCCGCTCTACCAACACGCGAAACGTTTCAAATATTTTATAAATGTCTGATTTTACCCTTAATGGATAAAACCAGCAATAACGGGAGTAATCGTCAACAAACAAAAGAAAATAGCGATAACCGCTAGACGAGAGTACTGGAGCTGGACCCCAGATGTCTGTATACCATAAGTCTAAAATATTTTCGCTAGAATCACTGACCCTATCTAATTTAAACCTAGAAGACTTGCCGAGATGACAAGCAGTACATGACCCGAAACTATTATTAATTTTGGTGACCGGACAATGTTGAAGGATTTTATTCTGGACCAAACTGTGAGGATGCCCGAGCCTACGGTGCCAGGTTGATGGTGTAGCACGAGTAGTCACGAACGCGAACTGACTCCGAGACATTGGAAGCTTGTATAGTCCTCCGGAGGTGTGGCCTTTAAGAAGCACCTCCTGAGTTGTGGAATCCTTCACAAAAAAATGATGATTATGAAATTCAAAAAAAACACCATTTTCGTTAGCGAATTTTTGAACTGATAATAACGGAACTGTTAATTTCGGGACGTGTAAAATATTAGATAGAGATAAGTGTTTGGATTTTGACGGGATTGATGCATGGCCCACTCGGGAGATAACTAAACCTGTACCGTTTCAAACTCTGAGTGTATCCGGGCCGGTGTAATCTTCAGATGAGGCCATCATGCCAGCATCTGGAGTTGCATGCGCCGTGGCACCCGTATCGGGTGATGTTATCACATATTTGCTTGTTATTATAGTTATTTTTGAATCATCACAGTGATTAAGTTCTTTAATTTTATCTATTTAATACATATTTTCCTTGCTATTATCATTTAATTATGGTTCACACTTGTTTTGAATGTTTTACGGTGTTTGTTAGTGTTTTTGAACCATTCTAGGTCAAAGATATGAGCAAGGGAAGTTCAAGGATGAGTTTTGAGCAATTTTGGACAAGTTCGGTGCCCAGAGGACTCGACGCGTCGAGCTAAAGGCTCGACACGTCGAAAATTTCCAGAAAGTCTTCCGATCGAGACCATCAGGTCTCGACGCGTCGAGCTAGGGATTGGCAACAATCTAGAATAAACTTCCCCTAATAAGTTCCCCTTTCCCAAGGACCAACCATTAGGTGCAATCGTGTGTGCCCTAATTTATGCCCCAACTCCCATTGGTGACACAAACATGGCTATGAAGCTAGTAATTATGGCCATTAATTACAAGCATCAAACAATATTATCACGATTGCAACACAAGTATTAAACCCAAATAATAATATATTAAAGAAACTGAGAGCTCAGGCACATAGGTTCATAAACACTTTTACCCAAGAATCTCTAAAGAATTTAGCCAAGCATGACTAAATTATACATAGCAAATATAAATAAAGAATTACAAATCATCAAAAGAGTACAAGAATTAACCAGACGATTTTCCCAAATCTCCCTAGTCTTCTTCTTGCTTTCCAAGACAACTTGTGGCTCTTGATTTGATGCGTAGTATATTTGCAAACAAATAATTCTCGGAGTACGAGTTATCGATCCACAGGGAAGTGGTTGTATCAAGCACTAGTTACTAACTTATTCATTAGAGCTAATCCTAACAATTACTTAGATGATTGATTGGCATAAAATAAATAAAATAAAACAGAGGTTCAGGATTTTGAAAACAATTAGAGAGAAGTTGAGATTCATGGGATTCAAGTATTTAATCACCTAGTGCCAATTATCGTTTGCAATATTTAGTTTGGAATTAAGATTTGTGTGGGAATGCAAAGTGGAATCGAATTACTCCCGTAATCTCTATTCCTAGTGAATTTCCACTCCCATGGCTTAAACACCCAATAAGATCAAAGATCAGCATTCAATTATTCCTAATTACTACCATCTCCCGATTGGCAACAATCTAGAATAAACTTCCCCTAATAAGTTCCCCTTTCCCAAGGACCAGCCATGTTTGTGTCACCAATGGGAGTTTGTGTCACCAATGCGCCAATTTGATGCGTAGTATATTTGCAAACAAATAATTCTCGGAGTACGAGTTATCGATCCACAGGGAAGTGGTTGTATCAAGCACTAGTTACTAACTTATTCATTAGAGCTAATCCTAACAATTACTTAGATGATTGATTGGCATAAAATAAATAAAATAAAACAGAGGTTCAGGATTTTGAAAACAATTAGAGAGAAGTTGAGATTCATGGGATTCAAGTATTTAATCACCTAGTGCCAATTATCGTTTGCAATATTTAGTTTGGAATTAAGATTTGTGTGGGAATGCAAAGTGGAATCGAATTACTCCCGTAATCTCTATTCCTAGTGAATTTCCACTCCCATGGCTTAAACACCCAATAAGATCAAAGATCAGCATTCAATTATTCCTAATTACTACCATCTCCCGATTGGCAACAATCTAGAATAAACTTCCCCTAATAAGTTCCCCTTTCCCAAGGACCAACCATTAGGTGCAATCGTGTGTGCCCTAATTTATGCCCCAACTCCCATTGGTGACACAAACATGGCTATGAAGCTAGTAATTATGGCCATTAATTACAAGCATCAAACAATATTATCACGATTGCAACACAAGTATTAAACCCAAATAATAATATATTAAAGAAACTGAGAGCTCAGGCACATAGGTTCATAAACACTTTTACCCAAGAATCTCTAAAGAATTTAGCCAAGCATGACTAAATTATACATAGCAAATATAAATAAAGAATTACAAATCATCAAAAGAGTACAAGAATTAACCAGACGATTTTCCTAAATCTCCCTAGTCTTCTTCTTGCTTTCCAAGACAACTTGTGGCTCTTGATTTCTCTCCTTCTTGTCTCCAAGAATCTCTGAATTCTCTCGGTCTTCCAAATTTTGAAAAGTTTAGATAAATTGTGACATTCTCTCTTTTTGATTAATTTTTCCATATCACTTCTTTGTTAGCCATCACCCGTAGCCCCATTACAAGCTTAATAAAGTCCTATTTGATCTCAGCATGTATTCTTAGATTTGATCTAGGGGAGTATGAAAGGCAAGCCTATGGGATCTCATTCATGAACCGTGTCTTGCATAATCTCAACTGAGTACTTGTACACACTTGGTCCTCACACACTTTAAATTCTTGATGCTTGGTTATTGGCTTGGAAATGGGTCTCTTATGTGCCAAACTAATTTGATTCTTGAAGCTTGTTGTTTTGTAGCAAGTGGGTTGGTGGTTTGAAAGGTTGTGCAAGAGAGAGCATGAGTAATTTGTATGTTTTGATTGTGATTTTATTCCTTGGTTTTGCTTGAGGACAAGCAAAAGCCTAAGTGTGAGGTGGTGATGTTATCACATATTTGCTTGTTATTATAGTTATTTTTGAATCATCACAGTGATTAAGTTCTTTAATTTTATCTATTTAATACATATTTTCCTTGCTATTATCATTTAATTATGGTTCACACTTGTTTTGAATGTTTTACGGTGTTTGTTAGTGTTTTTGAACCATTCTAGGTCAAAGATATGAGCAAGGGAAGTTCAAGGATGAGTTTTGAGCAATTTTGGACAAGTTCGGTGCCCAGAGGACTCGACGCGTCGAGCTAAAGGCTCGACACGTCGAAAATTTCCAGAAAGTCTTCCGATCGAGACCATCAGGTCTCGACGCGTCGAGCCATAGCTCGACGCGTCGAGAATGACGCGAAGAATTACTCATGCGGCAAAGCTTACTGCATGGTGGGCTGCAATGTTGGAGCAACAATTATTCCCTAATCATTGGGACACTCCTTCCTAAGTCAAAGCTTGCTAGCTATAATAACATTCCAACCAAAATAGTGGAACGGCAATTTCTTATTTTAAATATAGGAATTATAATTTGAGTCCAATTTTGTACAAGATTCCTATTTCATCTCAACTTTGTACCCACTATAAAATCCCTCCTTCCTCAACCCTAAAGACACGGAGAGATTTTTAAAGTTCTTTGTAGACAAGAAAGAGAGAAATCAAGAGGCTCAAATCGTCTTTGGAAGCAAGGAGGAAGCCAGGGAGATTTGGGAGAATCGCTTGGTTAATTCTTGTACTCTTCTGATGATTTGTAATCCTTTATTCATATTTGCTATGTATAATTTAGCCATGCTCGGCTAAATTCCTTAAGGATTTTTGGGTGAATTTGTTTATGAACCTATGTGCCTAGTTCGTTAATTTCTTAATATATTTATGTTTGGTTTTATGATTTGTGTTGCAAT